TGTCATCAACGAAGAACATGATCAGATCGAAAAGATTGGGAAGAAAAAGTATAGCACAGGACTAACAATGACATAGTCGAGTCGCCTATGACAGTGACATGACGATAACATCAATGGCTCCAAAATGGATGATTAAACGCGTGATAAGAGTGAAACATACGCCGCATATAATTCAGAATTTTAGACACATCGAAAAAGCGTAATCAAAAGCTGATTACCTGTAATGCACCATCATTTGAATCAAATCACCGCTCATAGGGCAAAAAACAATGTGCGGATATTTTCACCTTCGCCTCTTGAATATTCGCTACATGGTTCCGCATATGAAGAGAGGAAATTGAGGAAGAAACGAACAAAGCAGATTTTTGATTTCTGTAGATATCTATTTGGGCTGCAGGTGATTTGTGCGCGGCACTCAAAAATAAAAGACATAGATATACCTTGGTGACATTGCCATCACTGGTCGTTTCCTCGGCTTCACAAACAATTCCGAATGCTCCAGCTCCGATACTACGAACTGGTTCGTACTTCTCGGCAGCGGTACCAAATTCAAAGTCCAAATGCAGTTGGCGTCGAGCCAAGTCGTCCAACACCCGATTGAATCCCGTTTTTGTAGCAGGCATAGAGCCTAGAACAGACTGTGCTTCGTAACAGTATTAAAAATGAACGCATAGATGCGTACAGCGGTCACGGTTATTCAAAGTGCGGCAGATCGCGTATGCTTGGCGAACGCGGGTGCCTTGCTAAGCTGCGATCAGCTAGCGACTTCGCTGCGGACGGACAGTTCGCTGTCCGTCGAATAACACACAGCGCCCCAAATACGAGCACACCCGCGACATCATAACACACAAAAGAAATTCTACCCACACTCGCTTTGTGGGTAAGCAGGTGCTAGCAAGAAAAAGAACTCGCGCGTTTGAAAGCGCTCGAAAAGACAGGAATCCCGGACAGCCCCAAAAGGCGTCATGGCCATCAACCTGAACGGTGACAGCGTAAGTGTCAGACTATTGCGAATCCTAAATTGGCTAAGTGAGTGGGTATCTCGATGAATCACTCACGCAACGGTGGTCGGCGCGAGTGCCACTCAATGCTATTCTTTGTTTGACGACAGTGATAATCGCCGGAAGTATCCAGCTGATAAAGAACCCACTGCAGACCGCATAACAACAGGGAGATGAAGATGCGAGAGGTTGGTATAGAAAAAGTAGAACATATATACAGCATTGAAATCAGTGTCAGATAGAAGTGCGTAAAGCAGTTGAGACGATCTTATAAAAAAAACTCATTTGATGAGTTTAGAAAGATGATTGCGTTTCATGTTCTCTGGTAGTAATAAGCATTGAAAAGAGAGAGTTCAGATCAAATCTCAGGTTTATCAGAATCAGATTGCATGGAGGTTTATCTTAAAGAGAAACTGCGATAATAAAGGCAAACTGCGAGAAAGATTAGCGATTATAGTGATAAACGTCAACGAGACCGATTGAAGGCACTACAATGTCAGAAAAAATACGAAATACATACAAATCACTTTGCCGGTAATTGTCCTGGACGCTGAAGAATTTACAATGAATTACTCATTAAATAGCTCTTCTGTTCGATGATTTTAGAGGACCTTTTGACAATATGCGAGTCGAGTCATTTTTGTAAATGATACAAATGCCTACTCAGATACACATTCAGCACAGAGAGTTGTGAAGGAATAGCCACAGGCAATGTTGCTAGCATCATAGTGCGCCGCACGCAAGCTCATATCCGTGCTATGCACTTTAAATAAAATGGTCTCTATTGAAAAGTCGTAGCCACGCGGCACTGGTAGCTGAAGTTTGTGGATAAAAAAATTTTGTAAAATCTACAATGGCTTCGGCTACAACAGCAGGCTCAGTTTTTTTTCCTCTGCCGCTGCTCCAAAATTCCACTATAGATTGAGTAAGAAAATAGCGATCTCAAATCTGTGCATTCTTGATTTTCAATGTCCGAATATTTGCTACTGTAGCAGCATCTCTGCAAAGTAATTCCACACAAGGAACGATCGAGTCAGTGGGTGAAATGGATAGTCCAAGACAGGAGTAGTTCTCTCGTAAGACTCTTCAGGTATCGCCCCTAGAAAAGCGTTCGAGCGATCGGTTGTTGTTGCAAATATTCTTATGTAAACGCGGCAATGCAAACATTTTTGATGGTGATGCAGAAAAGAAAATATTTACCGCGCATGAAGTGTCATGACATCTTCCTGAAGCGTTGTCAAGCGCACGGAGCATTGTCGACTCAATAGTGATGTTTATAAAGAGAAAGTGTTAAGAGTGCACTAATCGTTGCTGACTCCTGCCACGTTTGAATGCAACCTGCTGATGATTTGATAGCAAAATATTGTGAAGTAAGATTGAAAAATAGACAAACAGATGGAGCACACAAACGCCAAGAACCGTTAATCCTATAATAAGGTCGCGGGGAACGCTCCTGAGTAAATCTGAAAGAAACAAAAGTCACAACACCACTTCCCTTCTAGTCCTGTGACTGGCGACCAAAACTTCGTTCTGGTGTCCTTCAACAGGAGTCACAGCTCTTCATGACGCTCTAGCATTGCGGTGTTCGACAATGATTATGCGAGGTTCAAGTGGACAGAAAGTTGTTCGCGAAAACATTCTTTCTCTACGTGAGACGTTTTCGCAAGAGTGCGTAGTAAATTGTGTCCTTGAACAGGCTTTCTTCATACAAGCACCAGGCAGACCGACAGGAAGCGAAATGTCTTTACTGATTATCTTTTTGCCACTATTCGGCATGACTGCACATTCGCGTTTTTGCATTGGCGCTTTTATTGGCGAGATTACTATTATACTCTTATAGGATCAAGAATTTTGCTTCCTTCAAGAAAATTTGAGCTAGGCGGGGCATACGACTACTAAGCAAAACCTGTAGATTACGATGTTGTTGGTTTTACGGATGAAAGCAAAATCTATCTGTGCAATGTTGAATTTTTCCTCATCTCCCACTCAAAAAATTAATCCTCTCAATCATTTCGTTCGGCGGAGTTATAGAAATTGGATTGGAAGGTTGAATCGGAAGGTCTGTCACATTAACGAAAAAACACAGAATTCTATATTGGTCTCGTCAGGCGGGAGAAGCGTGCATATAGAGGAGGCAAAC